AAAACCTGTAGTAACAAGAGGCTAGCTAAAAGCTATAGTATGAAGAGACTAGCTAAAAGCTTTAGTAGTAAGACAAGCTAGAAACTATAGTAACAAGAGGCTAGCTAAAAGCTATAGTAACAAGAGGCTAGCTAACAGCTATAGTAACAAGAGCCTAGCTAAAAGCTATAGTAACAAGAGCCTAGCTAACAGCTATAGTAACAAGAGCCTAGCTAAAAGCTATAGTAACACGAGCCTAGCTAAAAGCTATAGTAACAAGAGGCTAGCTAAAAGCTATAGTAACAAGAGGCTAGCTAACAGCTATAGTAACAAGAGCCTAGCTAAAAGCTATAGTAACACGAGCCTAGCTAAAAGCTATAGTAACAAGAGGCTAGCTAACAGCTATAGTAACAAGAGCCTAGCTAAAAGCTATAGTAACACGAGCCTAGCTAAAAGCTATATCAACAAGAGGCTAGCTAAAAGCTATAGTAACAAGAGGCTAGCTAACAGCTATAGTAACAAGAGGCTAGCTAAAAGCTATAGTAACAAGAGCCTAGCTAAAAGCTATAGTAACACGAGCCTAGCTAAAAGCTATAGTAACAAGAGGCTAGCTAAAAGCTATAGTAACACGAGCCTAGCTAAAAGCTATAGTAACACGAGCCTAGCTAAAAGCTATAGTAACAAGAGGCTAGCTAACAGCCTAAAGGAGCGATACAGAATCTGGAAGTTTCTGAATCGTAGCTAAAATGTTAACATTATCATCAGAAGACTCAAACAGAGCCAAGTTGTTAAAGCAGATTTCAAAGAGAGCGTTTTTAAATAAACTGAAGAGATCCCAATGTATTTTTATTGGAAAACATTTCTAATTAAAGTTAAATATTTTGAAAAGTTACAAATCCCAAATTCACAGCCCCCATCTTCTGAAGGAGCTGAATGTTTTAATGTATGAACGGCTGAAATAGCCTAAATTCTTCTGAAACAGTTAAATGGAAAAATATGTCACAGGAAAACAGAGAATGCTGAGTCAGCGTTCACAGAAAGAGGAGAAGGAGGTGAGACATCTTGGTTTAGTCCAAGATGGTCCTCTTGTTTATTGTGAATATCAAATAAATCTAAAACTTTGATCAAATAAAACAACTTTTTGTGGAATAATGATGTAAACCCGGACGTCGTTTCCTCGGCAGCTCCAGGTATCATCTCAGCTGCACCTTATGCCGGAATGACTCACGCCTTCCCACCTGCGTTCGCCCTTCAGCCAGCAGGTGAGTTTCACCTGTTGAGGTGTCACATGACCGGTCAGAGGGCGGACAGCCAATCAGACTGTAGGCTGTAGGCTGCTTAATGACTCTGAATCAGTTGTCGGCCCGATCTTGTGTTTCGTGCAGATCTCGATGTGTTTTTTTACTCGTCTCACCCCTCTCAGTGTCCTCCCCATACCCAGGACTGACGGTCCCCGCTCTGCCTGGAGCCCTGGCCTCTTTGACCCTCCCTGCCGCCGCCAGGTTGGGGTTTACCACCATCCCTGCTGGACACTCAGTCCTGCTGGTCAGCAACCTGAACCCCGAGGTGAGGAGTCGTCCTTCAGTCTGATCGAACCTTCACTGCAGAGCACCGGCCCAACACAAGCACATCATTTAGAGACTCTACCTACTTTTTTTTTTCATGACACGAGAAGTGAGGGACGTTGGTTTGTGATAGACACTAACATGCACCCTTCACAGGTTTAGGTGTATTTTGGTAACTCGGGCCGTCTTTTTGTTAAAGTTATAGCCCGGTCATCTTCAAAACGATGTTCTTTCTTATGGTTGGCTTCTCAGCCGTGACCTCGGTCATAGAGGCAAAAGTCTTCGCCCAGGCTAGGCTAAGAGCTAGCTAAACGAGTGCCTGTCTCAGTAGTTTTTTATGTTTATAAAACAACCTTTACTCCAAAACGGCGTACCGGCCATCAGCTGATATTAAACCGCCACACTTCAGCGTGATGCCGATTGTTTTAGGGGTGTCCTGATACTATTTTTCTTTTTTTCAGACCGAGTGCAAGTACTTCAGTTTGGGTACTTGCCGATGCTGAGTACCCATACAGTACCTACACATTACACAATGACTTCAGAAACATTAATTTTAGTAAGAACACAGCAAACGGTCTGCATGTTTATCTAAAATATTACCAAATTATGGACATTTTAATTTTTTGTCCTCTTGTTACTTGAGAAGTGGAAACGGAAATGACGTCACTGTACTCAAAGGTGGTATCGGTCTGTCTTTTGGTTTTTTGTTTTGGGGGGGCTAATGAGTAAGTAGTTGAGGCTGGTGTCAAGCCCACCACTAGCTGTCCCATGGGTGAAGTGGGGAATTGGAAACGCCCTCCATCCGTCCCTCTTTTGGGCTGGACAACGTAAAGTGAGGTACCAACTTCCGTTTTACTGCCAGAAAGGTCCCATTCAAAAAGGGATTACAACGTCAAAATCCAAGATGGCTTCCTCCATAAATAGCAAAACTACTTTTACATTTTCGGTAACTTTAAAAGCCGGATTTAGCTTCCGCTAATCTATGTTTCGCCAACTTTGTCTGCTAAAAAAAATTCGCACCCTGTTCCTGTGTGTTTGTGGGCGTGTCTCAAAGAGTCCGTTAGACACGCTGACCGCGTGTACGCATGACGAGACATGATTGGTCGACCCAGCTTCAACTGGAAGGAGACGAAGACGTGTGACGGTTGTCTGAGCGGTTAGCGGTTTAGCGTTAGCTTGCACTAATTTGTTTACTTGTTTAACGTTAGCAAAGCTAACTCTTCAGTTGGACTGTGGGTTAGTTAAGTGAACTTTTAGTTTTCTGAAATTATTGGGGTGGCTAAAGATTAATCTATGGGGACCAAGGCCACCTTTGGCCACCCCCTGGCTCCTCCGCTGCACCTTGTGAATAAAATGTCTCCTGATCTCCAGGATCTGACACCGACAGCGCAGAAGATGTTTTCTTCCTCTGCTCCGAGATCATTTTAGGTTTACTCAAAGAAAAACGTTATAAAAATATAAAGCGGCTCTCAGAAGTCCCATCGTTTGTTCGTAAATATTTAATCTGCGGTTTGATTTCCCGTTTCTTCGCCTCGGACGTTAAACACAGGTTTTCTTCCTGACGTTTTGTCACACACCTGAACACACCACGCACACCTGAACACACCTCACCTGTGCCGTTCTAATGTGAAATGAACCTTTAATTTGATCTGACACCCCCCACCCCTCCTCCAAAGATAATTAACCTTCTGATTGACCCCTCACCTGTCTTTTGTTTTGTTTTCTCCCCCTTTTTAATTTGTTGCCATGGAAACGCCTCGGACCCTCCACCTGTCCTGCCCTCCCACCTTTACCTGTCCTGTCCCTCCGCTGCCTTCTCTGCTGTCTTTAAAGAGAGTTACGCCCCACTGCCTCTTTATTCTCTTCGGTATGTTGTCACTAGCTTCTTATTTTTGAATTACCAGTACCACCTGAATGTTCTGATTTTTATTTATTTGTGAAAACACGACGAGTGTCTGCTTGTTTTGTCGTATCGTGTGTGTTGATTTGAGTTTAGTCGCAGTCTGTGCAGCTTTTCCTCTGAGTTTCTGAAGCTCCTGGGCGTCTTATGATCGTTTTAATCCATAACGTGGATGAAGTGAGCGTCCTGAAACCTGACGAAGCATTCCTGAAGCTGAACCAGCTGTTAGCTTCAGGCTAAGCTGAAAGATGAATAATTACCAAAACATCCAGGGGTGTGTCGCACATCGCCTTTAAATTATAAGCAAAAAGTTTTTGTCTTAAAGTGAGGAGGTTTAAACGTTTACTGGTCCCTGTAGGATCAAAGCAGGAGCAGCTGGAACCACCAGGGCCGTCCCTGGTCTCTGATCCTGTTTGTGGTCTTCATGGACGGGGTCTTAGGTCTCAGGTCTCAGTTATGGAGGGGGGTGTCTGGTTTGGAAACCTCAGGGTCTCGTCTCTGATTAGAGTCAGTTCCTCTAAGTCTGAGGCTCCGGTTCTCGGGTGGACAGCCTCCTCCAGGTTGGGGGGGGACGGGGTTTGACACCTGTGCTCACCACCGTGCGCAGAAGCTGTGGTCCATGACGGTTGACGTCATGAATCGGCAGGAAATCTAAAAAAAAAAAAAAAGGAAGGTGCTGATTTTTCTGCTTTTCTCATCAGAACTGAGCTTCATGTCCGAGTTCAGGTCTCATTAGTGCTCAGGGACTCTGCCGTTCATGAATTCTCAAACTGAGGTTGTTTAAAGATTCATCTGTAACAGGTAAGATATTTACATACTTAAAGTTCTGCACATTAAACAGCAGGCTCAAACCCATTCCAGTTAAAACTGGTTAAACTGGTAAATGGCCTCAGTTTGAAGCATCTGGAAACTCAGAGGAGCTGCATTTATTGTTTTTATTTTTAATTTCCAGTTCAGAGTCTCAGGTTTTAGGTCTGCATGCCGGGTTTCTCTCAGTTTGCATGTCCTCAGCGCCGAATCAGCAGCTCCTGGTTTTTGTTTTGTTGAAACCCATAATTCATAGCACCTACATGATGCAATCTGCCGTTTATTTTAATTTTCTCTGACCCTTCCCCTTATTTTCCTGACTTGCACTTCCTGTGTTTAACCATTCAGGAACTCCCGTCTCCAGAAATTAAATTTACGACGAGTTTCTGTTTTGCTGCAGCAGCTCTCGTCCTCCCGCTGCTCAGTTTGTGTTCTAGTTTTTATTGGACTAAAGCGAAGGGTCAGTGGTGTGGCAGGCTTCATGCGCAGCTTCCTGTAGCGTTAGCTCTAGATCATTTTATTATGTTGGTTGGTTTTTTTCCTTCCACAAACTCACCTGTTTCCTCTCTGTGCGACTCTGTTCAGGTGTTTACGGAGACGTGATGAGAGTGAAGATTCTCTTCAACAAGAAGGAAAACGCTCTGGTCCAGATGAGTGACAGCACTCAGGCTCAGCTAGGTAACGGCTCGCACGTGCTCAGTGCGCTCCAGCCAGCTCTCCGTCAAACTAAGTGAAAGTTCTGTTCTGAAATACGGTATGACCTCAGGGTCGTCCCCGGTGTTGAGGTTTGAAACCACCTGCTCGATGTTGTCCAAGCAAACTTTAGTTTGAGATTATGTGCGTTAAGACTCGACAGATTCCACCGTGTCAAAAACACTCGACGGATTCCACCGTGTCAAAAACACTCGACAGATTCCACCGTGTCAAAAACACTCGACAGATTCCACCGTGTCAGAAACACTCGACAGATTCCACCGTGTCAGAAACACTCGACACATTCCACCGTGTCAAAAACACTCAACAGATTCCACCGTGTCAGAAACACTCGACACATTCCACCGTGTCAGAAACACTCGACAGATTCCACCGTGTCAGAAACACTCGACGGATTCCACCGTGTCAAAAACACTCGACAGATTCCACCGTGTCAAAAACACTCGACGGATGACCGATGGTTTGGGCTCCTTCAGTCACTGAGTGGACCAGAACTTCTCTGGAGACCAAAGGGTTCTGGAGTGAAGTGAGTCCAACAGCTGAAGCTTGGACCAAACTGGTCCAACAGAACCATGGTCCCAAACACAGCAGCTGATCTACAACAGAACGGGTCAGAAAGACCAGAATCACCGGTCCAGTCAGAGTCCAGAACCTCAGCTTGATGTTTTGAATGTCATATTGCAAAGAGGGCGTCCTTTTCCTCGTGACTGTAAATCTCTGACTCGTCTTCGCCCGTTCACGAGTTTATAAATCAGAGCGAGCGTCAGGTTTTACTCTGCGGTCTTTAGTTTGTCTCTAACAGCTGCTTTAAAGGGTTTACAACACATTCTGAGTAGATTCGTGGTTAAATATTGATTTTTTTTGTGATAACACTAAAATTAACTAAACAGAACAGAGTTTCAGTGTTTTGTCTTGATTGGAGGTTAAATCTGACACAAACATTTTCAACGGTAAAACCTGAAACGTGACGGTTTGAACAGTTTACAGAAGTTTCTAAAAGTGACTCCTCTCTGCTGCTCAGCCATGAGTCACCTGAACAGCCAGCGGCTGCACGGGAAGCCCCTCCGGATCACGTTGTCCAAACACACCAGCGTCCAGCTGCCCCGCGAAGGCCACGAGGACCAGGGTCTGACCAAAGACTACAGCAACTCCCCCCTACACCGCTTCAAGAAGCCCGGCTCCAAGAACTACTCCAACATCTTTCCGCCTTCGGCCACTCTGCACCTCTCCAACATCCCGTAAGTCCAAACCGAGCTCTGGACTCGGGAGAGGACGGGACCGATCCGAGCCTCATGAAGTGTCTGGTTTGTGTTTTCTAGTCCCTCTGTGGTCGAAGATGATCTGAAGAGGCTGTTCTCCAGCTCGGGAGCCGTAGTCAAAGCCTTCAAGTTCTTCCAGTAAGTCACTCAGTCTCGTTTCTTCACCGTCTTAACCCCGTCTGGTGTCGCTGAGGTCCTGAAACCCTCAGTTTACAGAAGAACTTCAGTCTGCGCTGAAGTCCCCCTGTCCACGCCAGATCACGTCTTTCAGTTTCGTCTTGGTACTTTTTTTAACGGGCTGTAAATTTAATCTGAAACTCTTGGATTTAGTTGATTATCGCTATTTATTTATTTGGGGAGTGGTGGTGCAGAGGTTAGAGAGGTGAGCCTGTGATCAGAAGATCGCCGGTTCAACTCCCAGTACAGACAACATCAAAATGTGGGGGGGATATTGTGAAACACCCACACCTGCCTCCACCCTCATTTGCACCACTGTGAGCCCTTGAGCAAGGCCCTCGACCCACCACCACCTGCTCCTGCAGGCGCCCTGGATGGCAGCTCTGCTCCACACAGAGGTGGTAGCTCCGTGTCTGGTCGAGTCAGGAAGGACATCCGGTAAAAACAATCACCAAGTCTTCATGCGAGTTAGTTCACTGTGAAGAAGGAGCAGCCGAAAGAACAAGTCTTATTTATTTGTTTGTTTGTTTGTTTATTCTTTATTGGGGATTGTTGCCACCTGAGTGAAATGCGTAGTATTTAGTGCCCGTTATACGAGATGTTCAAAAGGTTTTAAACATTAAAGACACGATCAGCTGTAACGAATCTGAACCAGGATTTTAAAACGCTGATCAAACGGGATCAACGGCCTTCATCTGTCACACTCATCATCACATGCACACAGCAGGAAGTTCATACGCGTGAACAAACGTTTGGGACAGTTTAGACATCGGCTCTTGGTAAGGATTAGTTCAAGCTTTGGTTTGGACGTCCCACCCTTCGTCTTCCGTCCTTCAACTCATCAAAACTTGTGGAAAGTTTAGACCAGCGGCAGCGTCGTCTGCAGTGCCGACAGCTTCTGGTCTTCAGGGCTTGTTCGACCCACGTGTGCTGTAGGAGCACCGATGTAAAAGAGCCATCTTTATTTGGGTTTGGGTTGGACCTTCAGCTTGAAGAAAACGAACGCCACGGACCGTCGCCACGGTCAGACACACCCTCGAGGAAATCGACTCGAACCTTGAACCAACCTTCGCAAACGACCTCTTCCTGGACTCTTGGCTGTCCAGCAGGGTTGGAAAGGCACCGGCTGATGAAGACGTGATGAACCAACTGCTAACATCAAGATGAAGGTCCACCGGGCCTGTGCTACCAGGAAGAGGGTCTGAAGACCTCCTGGCAGAATAAGGTCACAAATGAAGTCCTTCCAGGTGTTCCCAGTGTTTCCACCCTCCATGGTGAAGGTGGTGAGTAGAGACCCCAGCTCAGAACGAGGCAGCCAAACTGAAGGAGCTTCATGTTGGAGAAACACCATCAGTTGATGGCCCCGACTGTTGATCATTGATGATGCTGTTCGTAGAGCACCCAGCCTCATTTTGAAAGTTAACCTGTTGGTTTCTCGTTCAGGAAGGACCACAAGATGGCTCTGATCCAGATGGGCTCCGTGGAAGAGGCCATAGAATGTCTCATCCAGTTCCACAACCACGACTTGGGAGAAAACCACCACCTGCGGGTCTCGTTCTCCAAGTCCTCCATCTGAGCCTTGGTTTCTACGATCCAAGACCTCCTCGCTCCGCAGGGAGCCGACCCGGCGGGGCCCACTACACTCCAGTCATTCCATTCTGCAGAACCCACCGTGAAGTCTGCTGTGATTTTAAGTTATTATTATTAAAATGTTCTTTCTGAGGACTAGGGATTCCCCAGAAAACGTTGAACCTCTGAAGCTTTTAATCTGTAAAATCTGAGACTAGAGGGCGGATTCTGTGTTTCCAGGCAGAATTGTAATGTCCTTGTTGTGAAGTTGGACCTTTTTAGCCTCGTTTGCCTTTCGACTTTAGCGCCTTGAAAGAGGGACGCAAAGTCAGCCTTTTAAAATTTAATCTCCGACTTTAAATTCTGACTCAGAACGACCACTTTAATCTCAGATTTCTGGTTTTCGAGCGTCCCTGATCCTTTACTGTAGCTCTCCCCTGACAAACCCCGAGTCCTGCGTGTACCTGCGGAGCTGCGACTGCGATCGGGACGTCGGCCAGAGGATCCCTGTGCCTTATTCCTTTAACACACGTGAATCAAAGCTTCTGTGAATTGGCGAGAGCAGGTTTACAGTTTGAAAGGTTTACTGTTGAGCTGGATTACAGATAATCCATATTTCCTCGGTGTTGTCAGTGCTTTGTTAGTGTTTTGTAATGCTGGTTACTGTAGCGTCAAACATGTGAACTGATTGTGTTTAGCAGGTTTGTTGGGTCTTTACTCTTAGTTTAATCCTTTTACTTATTGACTTCTTTATTTCCACGTATGCAATCATTTTTTAATCATATATTGTAGCAATATTTTAACCATTCCTGACTTTCTTTTGACTGTGTTCTTTATTTTTGTGGTGTCTTGGTGAGCTCGGCTTGTTTTGCTGCCTTCTACGATCCGAAGATGAATGTTTTTGTGAGTTTTGTCCCGTCAGTCGCGTTTCCTCTCGGAAAAGAAAAGGTTTTATTTATACGTTCGTTGATCCACTACAGCTAAAACCAAAAACGGCCTTCTAGATGATGCAAACAATTCCACCCGCCTCAGGGTTCTGGTGTCAAACTGGTTCAGGCTTTTCTGTTTTCCTGTGAGAATGTTTTTCTGAACGTCTTGACCGTTTCACTGGATTCAGTCCACCTTATTGCAACACGAGACAAAATGACGCGGAGTGTCTTGAACGCAGCGCTGAGTCGTGCATCAGGCAGTCGTTCCGCTTCGGTCTGAGCAGCACTTGGAGACCAACTGAAGATGCTGGTTTGATTTTATTTCCTTATTTTTAATGTCAACATTCCAGCCACTCAGAAGTCTCCCCTCCCCAGTTCCACGTGTTTAACAAAGATTCAATTAGAACGAAAGGTTTCCTCGAAAAGCGCTGCTAAATTATGCAGCCGTGATGCATTCAGTGCACCTGGGAAAATGTGACACTGGGACGTTGCTTCATGTATTAAACAGTACAGGTTTTATAAAACAAATTCTTTGTTTGGGCTGATTTCAGGGCAGTAGCTGCTAAGTTTGTTGAAGCAGAAATAATTTGCAGATTTGTCAGGGGTGCAACCACCAGGGATCCAGAGGGGGCCAACGGCCCCTTGATAAATTTGTGAGACTCCCCTTCCCTCTGTCCTTCATGGCCAAAAGGTCTTAAATGAGTAATCTGTCTGTTAGCTAAATATCTCAAACTTTCAGAAAGTAAAATTTTAATGCTCAACTGATTTTTGGCATTGACGAGAGCCACCAATAGGCACCACATCTAATTATAGTTAACAGAAAAGTGGCTAAACTGTCAATTTTACAGAGCTAAAATTAGGTGTGGTGGTAGCTGAGCGTGATCCCCAGAGTATTCTCCGAGTGCCAACAGATCACACAAGGTCTGTTCAATATGATGGTGTGCAAAGCGGCCGGCGATTTGCATTTTTTCAAAGACACTTGTTTAAGTTATACATTTGAATAGACCAAAAAAAGAGCCCCCATGTAATAACATTCTGGAGGAGATTTTTAAACAACCGTTTCAAGACAAACACTAACTCACGTTTACATTTATCTCCATCGTTTCCCTAGAAAACTCCGGCTTTGGGCCGACATCTGGATCCGTCTTGGATTTGGACTTTTCTTTTGACACGGTGCCCTTAGATAACTTGTCGGTAATTTGCGCTGTTTGATTAAACAGTCTCGAAAAAGAGTCGATGCTTGTTGGATAAAAAAAATCTAGCACCAATTTTCTATATAGATCACCCAGGAAGTCCTGTAGAAACCGTAAACGGGTTCAGTTTAAATACACTTTCAGGTCCATTTCTAGTTTTGATTTGGACCGTCATTCCTTTTCAGTGCATTCCAGTTTATTCCAAAGAGTCAAGTTAAGCTCATTTAAAAACGACTGCATTAGCTGTTCAATAAAGTAGCAAAGAAGCTAAAGTAGGACCAAATATACCAACTAAATATTTATAAATGTCATAAAATATAATTATAAAAATATTTGTTTTCAGATATAAATCTTTACTCTTTCCTTATTTACAACTTCTCATGAATATTAATATTTTGGGTCAAAAAGTTTAAATTCTGATGATGCTAAAGCAAACTTTTCCCGCCAAAAAGCCCCGTCTCTTCTGATTGGTCAGCCTCAGTGGTGTGATCAGGCTCCGCCCATCGCTCTGCAAGGAGTTCATTGGACCTAAAATTAGGATCTGCCCCCCAAGTGTGGGATGACCTTTTTTTTTTTTTTTAAGTAATACCAATTAAGATCATCTCAAAACATCTTTTAATTTAAATTGTTTGTTTCATGAAATGACTGTTGAGAGAAGCTTCTGACGCCTTTAGATCATCTACCAGCCGCGCCTCGTGGATCATAAATGGCTTATTTTCTGAGTTCAGAAATGTGACGCTGAATGCGGTTATGAATTCTCACACCAGAGCTGAGTTTCCTCAGATCGTCTACACACATTCGGACATTAAAAAGTGTAACCTGTCAGATACATCCAAGTGTTGAGGAACTAAACCAGTAACGTGGACCATTAAAAACACTGCGAGTCCCAGGTGTCCTTGAACGCATCACGGAGCTCGGGCGAGGCAGGCGGTGTTCGGCTGTACATACGTGCTTTATACGTCTGAGAGGTGATTGTTGGTTTTGTATCTAATGAAACATGTATATTTTGATTAAAGTGTGCGACCAGTTCTGAGCCTTACACTGTTGGTGTCACAAAGAACAAGAAAAAAGATTAAATCACTTTTTATCTAAAACGCAAAGACTCCTGTCGTCTTTCAAAGCATCAATACATATCAGATAAATCTTTTGCTCACCGTTTCTTTCAAAGGTAAAAACAGAAGGGGAAAAATAAAAAAAGCAGCTTTTATAAGATGACACGTGTCGCAGCATGAACTTTCTTGCTTTAAAAAAATAAACTTGTTTGAGAAAACGACCCAAATTGTATTTATTTCATGTCGACTATCCACCACAAACTTCGTCAACAGGGTTTCAAATCATTAGTTTTAGTTTTACAACTTCTATTTTTTTGTTTTATTTGAGTCTGACAGCCATTAAATTTAATCTTAAACTACAAAATAGTAAAAACAAAAACAGCAAATTGTCATATATCCATATTTCTACTTGGAGTGGGGAAAACAAGTATTTGATGCCGACTGCAAGTTTTCTCACCGTCAGAGTCAGAGTTTCTTTATTGTCATTCGCACCTCATGTGGTACATGTGGTGGAGCGAAATTATGTACACAGGGTCCCAGTTACATCCAACAATAAAATGTCTAAGAAAAACAGTAATAACATCTAAGATATGAACTAAGAAAAACATCAACTAAATATACACTCAGCACTCATAACATAAAACATTGAACATCAGCACAAACATGAACATGAGTCTGTGAGCAGATGTGCACGCATGAACACATCAACATTGAAACAGATCAGCAGCAACATGAAACAGATCAGCAGCAACATGATATGGTTTTTCACAGTGATTATTCTAGTTAGAGATTCATGAGTCTAACAGCCTCAGGGTAGAAGCTGTTCCTCAGTCTAGTGGTTCTACACTTAATGCTCCTTAACCTCCTTCCTGAGGGGAGTGGGGCAAAAAGTGTGTGTGCTGGGTGGGTGGGGTCCTTCATGATGCAGGTGGCCCTCTTCCTGCATCTGGAGGTGTAGATGTCTGTGATGGTGGGGAGACTGATTCAGAGAAAGAGGAGGTTTAATTTATTGTAGATAAACTTCAACTGTGAGAGAAAATAATCAGATGTATGATTTTTAAATAATTCATTGCATGAAATAAGTATTTGATCACCAACCAAGGTTGAGTACAACCTAAAGAACATGGTCCCAACATGAACCTCCCTGTGTTGGTTCTCTGTGACCAGGTGTGAGTAAAATCAGGTCACGGACACATGACTGCTCTTCATGTTCTTCACTGCAGAGATCTGGTGTAACAAACTGCGCACACATTCCATCAGTGTGACGTCATGCATGGATCTCCACCTGCTTCCATCATCTGGAGGAGCAGTGAGCGCACCTGAAGGGACCCTCGCACGCAGCGGGGCCGAACTACCAGTAGGTGGCTGCAAAGAACTACACATCCGTTTTGGTGCAATCCCTCAACCTTTTCATCTGTGGGGGTGGAAACATCAGACTTTGGGGGTGCTTTTCTGCAGAGGACAGGACGACTGCATCATGACCCTAAACACAGCCAGGGCGACTAAGGAGTGGCTCTGTAAGGTCCTGGTCTGGAGTGGTCTAGCCAGTCTCCAGACCTGAACCCAACAGAAAATCTTTGAAAGGAGCTGAAACTCAATGTTGTCCAGCGACGGCCCCGAAACCTGGAAGATCTGGAGGAGATCTGGAGGAGTGGGCCAGAATCCCTGCTGCTGTGTCCAAACCTGGTCCAGAACTACGTCTGACCTCCGTAACTGCAAAGGTTTCTGTACCAAGTTCTGTTCTCCTATATCAAATACTTATCTCATGAAATAAAATGCAAATGAATTGTTTAAAAACCATACAATATGATTTTTTCTTCTTAGATTCTGTCTCACAGTTGGTGTACAATAAAAATTAGGCCTCTCTTTGTAGGTGGAAAAACCTGCAGCACGTCTACCAAATACTTATTTTCCCCACTGTACATCCATTATTTTTCAGTTTTACTTTTTTGTGGTCCTAATAATCTAAATTAGGAATGTAAATATTGTTCAAAAATTAAAACTGTTAAATATTTAGGAAATGCAATTTAACTTCAGTTTGTCCAATTAGGATTTGAAAGTTTTCTGAATTGTCAGAGTTATAAAAAGTATTCTGTGACGGAATTATTATTTTTTTGGACATTAAAAAAATGTTAGCATTAGCAGCCAAAAAAAACTAGCATTAGCATTGCTACTTGGCTAACTGGTACAAGAAGCTAAAAATAAATTTGTTTAAACTTTCCAGGTGTCCTTTTCTTAAAAGTGAAGCATGAACATCATTATTGGTAAACTGTTCACAACCACTAACATCCAAAGTTTACTTTCTGAATATTTTGTTTGATTTTTTTGTGCGGCTTCATTTGAGCGGGAAAAAGTTGCTGCCGAGGCGCACACCCCGCCCCCAGTGTTGACAGAAGTTTATGGTACATCATGTTCATCAGTTTCTTTATTTTTACACCAGAAATAATAAATAAATAAATTGCTATAAATACCCGTGACATTTTGTCACGGGTATTTATGCAAGTTACACATGGAAACAAATTTAAGCAACGATGGCAAAAACACAACCAATAAAGTTACAGTACAGTTGCTAAAACATACAGTTGATAAAGTAGGGTCGGTACTAGTACTCCTAGAGTACGACAGAGTATTGGGGCCACAATATGACTAGAATGTCATATGGCAATATGTCAATACAATATATATTGTCAATAAGTTCTAGAATTGCGCCGCTCCAGGTGGCTGCATGTTGGAGCAGCTCTGTTACTTTCATTCTGAGATTTTGCTTTTGGAAACTTTAATTCCTGGTTTTCTGGATGTAAATCACATTTTTTGGATGATTGTTTCCTCTGGTATCAGATGCTGTGCAGCTGGAAGGATCTTTACTGGAACTTTTTAAGTTTTGGACATTTGTTATGATGCGTAACCATGACAACAAGGCAGTTTTCTACAACCAACAGCAGCTGATTAACATCTCAAAGCTCAAATAATATCTCAACTATGGCCCCAACTCTCAAATGAGTTGAAAAGGATGTTATGTGGACGCATTCTCATCTACCTGCCAGCTGTGCTCGAGTGCCTGACCACTGAGATCCTGGAACTAGCAGGAAACACGGCTCATGACAGCGGAAGGACAGGATCGTCCCTCGGCACCTACAGTTGTCTGTCCGCAGCTATGAGGAGCTCGGCAGACTGCTGGGAGGAGTGGCCATTGTTCTGGGAGGAGTTCTGCCCAGCATTCAAGCGGTCCTACAGTCCAGGGGAACCAAGAGGCCAGCTGAGTCTGGGTGGACGGATCGGACGGCATCTGTAGCCAGTTTCTTGGGATCCACTGTGGGATGGACCTTTACAAGAGATCCTTCCTGTCTACAGCATCTATAACATCTCTTAATGAAATGAGGATAATGAGTTATAACAACAAAATAATTTCCCTTTGGGATTAATAAAGTATTTTTTGAATTGAATAAGAAAAAAAATTACGAGAAAAAAAGTCATGAAATTACAAGAATAAAGTCGTAATACGTCCTGGGTCGGCTCGCACCTGCTGTGGACAGCCTCCAATGAGAGTCACTGTGTTTATGAAGTGGTCTGTGATCACTTTGGGTCACTGTTTGTGAAATATGCCTCTGTCCACATTTTGTCACAACAATCCGTCAATGCAGTCATTAAATGCAACACCATACGGCTTCAGTTTATCAAAAGAATCCATATGTCACAGAACGTTGGGCCCCCTGCTGCTGTACTGCCCATGTCAACTTTCATCATTTTACTGCAGTTGTAAGACGGCTTTTTCATGTCGGAGTTCTGATAATATTACGAGTTTATTCTCATAATCTTATGATTGCCGTACGACCGTATTCTCATAAATTACAACTTTTTTCTCGTAATACTATGACTTTATTCTCATATTATGACTTTATTCTAGTATTGTTTATACTTTATTCTCTTAATATTATGACTTTTTTCTCGTAATACTACGACTTTATTCTCATAATATTATGACTTTATTCTAGTATTGTCTCTACTTTATTCTCGTAATGTTAAAACGTTTCTCGTAAAACTATGACTTTATTCTCGTTCGTAATGTAATTATTTTCTTAGTGTGGCCCTAATACTTTGTCGTAATAAGAAATATATTTTAAAAAAATTAAACAGCTGAAAACAAATCTCATCTATTTTAAGCAAAAGCTAGCATTAGCATAGTAGCATAACAAACAATAAAGAAAGCTAATG